GGGTTTAGGGTGAATATGAAATTTGGGTGTTTCGGATAGGTGGGCGTGATGTTAGGTCATTTCATAAGTTTATGTAGAAGGTCAGATATAATAAAAACTCCCGTGCATTTAATTTAAGAAGGAAAGCGATTAGATCAAATGTAAAGTAATGGATATATTTTTTTCCAATTTTGAGTTTTAACATGAAATCATAAACAATTGACAAAATTATTCATGGGGTTTTGATAATATTTTTGAGAGGTTAGATTACAACAAAGTAAAATTAGCCCTCTGTAGTAAGGCACTCGGCCGGAAATGTGAATTAAGGAACTCGATCGTGCGGCAAGAATCAGAACGCTCGTAAAAACTGTAATGCCTAGCTTCCTTCTGGACAGCAATCGAATTACTGTGATCCTTCCAGGTCAAGTCCAAGATTGAGGTTATTGTTGAGAAAAATATCGAAAATATGGTATGGTTCATCGGTTCATCCACAAATGGTAATTACGTGGCATATAAAAAGGATAATATCGTCAAAAGGTCAAACTACATCTATCAAAATCCTAATGAAATGTCACCAAAACCCACGTATGTCCCTTGCAGCTCTAAACTCAATTTCCCACCCCCTCCACTCACACTATCATAAACAGCTGATGATGTAATATACCCGGGGCTGAGGGTGAAATGAAATGTGTAAACTTATCACGTCGATATGAGGTTCTGTTCGAATTTTGCCGGAAATATTTTTATCATAACCCTTGGCGTTATAAGGGAGAAATTTTGATCCCCGCAAATGTCACTTGTAAATCAAGTATAAATAAAACAACATTCTAAGCTTTTTGTAGCTTTTCTGGTAGTGTGGAGTTTAATTACAAATGAGATTTGAGGCTGGGAGGAACACCCTTCTCACGTCTACAGTCTTGGTTTAACGTAATAAAATCTAAAACTTAAAGAGGAATTTAATATTTAAGAAAATGGGAAATTTTCTACTTATTTTATTTGGATCCTGATGGATGTCTTTTGCTAAACAGTATAGATATAACCTCAGACTTCCTGTGTTCATTTGACTAATTCGTGATGTAATTGATTATGCATTTATGTTGCATTATGTTTCTGTTAAGTAACGAATTCGCATCTATCTCTTTGCTTTGTCACACTCTCAGACACGGAATCGCATTCGATGTTTGACAGTATATTATTACATAGGTTTTAGAAAGCTATCTCCTATACAGATGTGAAATCTTCTAAGATGGTGGCCATGGCTGGGCTCCACCCCTCTTGGCATATTAATCAAATATCAATAATCAAGTTTTGAGACAGCGATGCTTTTGGGTACATATTTCAAACTTCCCAATGCATGACAATGCAAGGTGAGAGTAGAATGTAGTAATAGTCCAGGCGCTAAACGGGTTGAGTATGCACTGAAAGTCTGACAAAATTTGACTTTTGATTATTGTTGGGGACATCTAGTAGATGAAAAAAATCGATGATGTCGCATTTCTAGGGTGGTCACAACTCGGGGGGGAGGGGGGAAGTTGCGCGGGTCATCGGTTTACGTTTCCGCGTCTAACTCACAAACGGTTAATGATAGAAAGGTGAATTAAGCGTCTATCTACGCCTAAATATATTGTCTTTTAAAAAGGTTATTACAACCTTTCTTCTATCTCTTATACTTTAGGCGCTAATCAACATTGATTGCAAAAAATGAAATTTAAAAATACTTAAAAATGAAATATCGGAAATATTGCGCTTGTTTAGGGCATGTTACAAACTATTTATGGTTAGAAAAACTAACAAGTAGTACAACAACACCAAGTTTAAAGAAATCCGTGCAAAAACAACAGAGCTACGTTGATTTCAGTAAGAGTAAACGTGGAAAATTCACAGTAGTATCGAGGCGCGCATGGATGGTACACGTAGCCCACAGTCAATATAGGTTTGATGTTGTAAGTAACTATGGGAAAGCTGAATTTTTCTATGCTGTTAGACCATGTTGAGATGAGCATTTTCCCAAAAGTCCCCACTCCTACCCCTTTGTGCTTTCCTCTACCCCCCCCTTTTAGATAAATTTACAGTCTCTTAGAAATTAAGCTATAACTTTAAAACGGGTAAGGATAATAACACAATCTTTTATTAATCATTTTGCGTTACGATATTCTACAAAAAGTGTTTACCATGGTATCCTAAATATTCATAGTTAAAAAAGATCATAAACATAAAAAAATATTTTTTACGGATTAATTTATGAAACTTTTCTTTGTAGATTTTTTATACGAGGTCGCACAACAAAATTTTTGATACAAAATTTGGGGTGCATAGTTTACATTTTAAAATTATACATAGTTATTAACAGTTTGTTTGCATATAGTAGTTATAGATAGTACAGTATATTGATTTTACAGGACTCAGGCTTTTTTGTGCTCCGCAACAATGAAAAAAATTACGTATATTATGGTTTTTGTATTTGAATTTGCCGCTTTATATAGATTATATTAACGTTATGTAGCTCATTCAGTACATATACAGACTGTAGTGGATACATATGAATGAATATCGTGCATTTGCTGCTGTACACCAGAGCCTCATTTTATTATACAGGGTGTCTCACCTATAGTGAACCAATAGATAACTTTTTTATTATGAGATATAGAGTTAACTTCTTATGGGACACTACCCTTTATTTTAAGATGTTTTTTTTAGTGGTTTCGAATTTTAAAAATATGTTCGCCATTTTCCAATATGGCTGACAACTTTGTTAGTCCTATGGAATACCCTGTATTTTATGATTGTTTTAGAATGTAAACGCACAACTTTTAAACCTTTTTATTCTTGACATTTTTCTCTAAAGCTACTTATTTAGGAGTTACATCGAAAAAGAAATGGTTATTGGTGAGTACATCCTGCATCCTCACAGCTCATAAACGTAAGTTTAAGAGCGGAAATACAAAGAATAAACAAGTTTTCAAATCACATCTACATTAAAAAAAACCATAAAATAAATTGTTCCAATATTAAAGTAAGCTAGCATTTTTGAAAATGGTGAAATTTTTAAAACAACAAAATCGGTATTTTTTAACGTATTTTATATATTTTTTTGAACGAGGACTTATATGTGACTTATTTATTCTTTGCACTTTCTCTCTCAACTTACTCGTTTATGAGCTACAGGATGCCGAATGTACACCACAAGCCTTTCTTTTAGATATAACACGCTGTAACTCCTAAATGGGGTAGGTTTAGAGAAAAAATGTCACGAATAAGAAAATAGCTTTTAAATTGTAAAAGAATACTAAAATAAAGCGTATTCCATAAGAAATAACAAAGTTGTTGGCCATATTGGAAGATTGTGGATATATATTTTTTGTTCGTAACCATCCCTAAAAACATTTTTTACAATTAAAAGGGGTCGTCTAATAAAAAGTTAACCCTATATGGAAAATAAAATGTGTGTATGTTCACTATGTAATCTCAACCGGGATGAAACGTGTACCCTTTTATAGCAGAATCTCCAATTTAAAAAAAGATACGTCAATTTTGGTCTAACAAGTTATATTTAAATGAATATGAGTTTTTTTGAATTTTTAAATGGCAAAGATTAGCGGGCACTTGGAAATTATCTTAAAGAGGCGTGGAGTAAAGGGTGGGAATTGATAATGGAGTATAATTATTAAATTTAAGAATTGAGATATCGATACAAAAATTGGAAAAATCTATGTAATTTAAAGAATTTATAAAATATTGTTTGTTAAGTATCTATCAAAGTAAATTATAAAAGTAACAGGTTTGTTTATGAATTATTAACTGTTTGTAGGAAAAATTCAGATTCTCAGTAGGCTACATTGAAATTTTATTATTCATTCAATTGTTATCTGATCTTTATTAGTATGTAGTGCTATTTGTGTATGTTCTGTAGTGGTAATCAGTTTATTTTATGAATAATTGTATGTGATTCATGGCATTTTTTTAAACGGTTTCAAATATTTTAAAATCAGTGTGTCTAACACAAAACAGACGGTCTTTGACCATTGTTCTTTGCATTGAAATAAAAAACACTGTATTGATATTTTATTACAATGAACACATTTTCTTCTTCTTCATCATCTATCTTCTTCATCATTTATTCATCTAATAATTCTTTTTGTAGATTATCGTAACGCAAAATGATTAATAAAATATTGCATTATTATCCTTACCCGTTTTAAAGTTATAGCTTAATTGCTAAGAGGCTGTAAATTTATCTAACAAAGGGGGGTTAGAGGAAAGCACAAGGGGGGAGGAGTGTTGACTTTCGGGAAAATGATAATCGCAACATGGTCTAACAGCATAGAAAAATTCAGCTTTCCCATAGTTACTTACAACATCAAACCTATATTGACTGTGGGCTACGTGTACCATCCATGCGCGCCTCGATACTACTGCGAATTTTCCACGTTTACTTTTACTGAAATCAACGTAGCTTTGTTGTTTTTGCACGGATTTCTTTAAACTTGGTGTTGTTGTACTACTTGTTAGTTTTTCTAACCATAAATAGTTTGTAACATGCCCTAAACAAGCGCAATATTTCCGATATTTCATTTTTAAGTATTTTTAAATTTCATTTTTTGCAATCAATGTTGATTAGCGCCTAAAGTATAAGAGATAGAAGAAAGGTTGTAATAACCTTTTTAAAAGACAATATATTTAGGCGTAGATAGACGCTTAATTCACCTTTCTATCATTAACCGTTTGTGAGTTAGACGCGGAAACGTAAACCGATGACCCGCGCAACTTCCCCCCTCCCCCCCGAGTTGTGACCACCCTAGAAATGCGACATCATCGATTTTTTTCATCTACTAGATGTCCCCAACAATAATCAAAAGTCAAATTTTGTCAGACTTTCAGTGCATACTCAACCCGTTTAGCGCCTGGACTATAATGTGATCTGTGTAGCTTAGTTACTAAGATCAGCTGTTTAATTCATTATGGCAATATCACCTGTTATGTACATCTACTTGACACTTAACGTATGTTCATCTCTTTTGCAGACCAAGGCATGTAGGATGCGTTCGTGGACTAAGGTAGTGGTGGCCCGGCTGTTGGCCATGGCAGGGCTTCGCCCCGCTCGCCCCACGACTCTGCCACCTCTGCCTCCTCCACTGCCCCTGCCCAGGGTCGACTCCCCATTGGACACTGACAGTGATATTGACGAGAGCGAGATTCGCAGACAGCTGTTGAACGATGTAAGTGAAGTGTCATGTAACTAGCATTATCAGCTACACGCCGTAAACAAAATGAAATAGTTTTCTTCCTAAATGGTAGATACAATAAAATAATATCCCTTATCTAAGCCCATTTAGGTTTACACTCTTTGCATGGGCATACTTTACACGTTGTAAAGCTATTTTATATTCCTTTTCATTGAACAATTCTCAAATCTAAAATGTGAAATCATCTTTTCTGTGGCTGTTGAGACCACCAAACGTTTAGCCTGATTATCGCTTGTCGGCGTTCGCAGAAGGTATTCTAATTATGTTCGTGTCGTAAATGACGGCGTCTCAACATCACAGCCTCACTAATAACTTCGTATTCAGAGTTCTAGAGTAGGTACAGTTTTACATCGATGTCCTAAAATATAGTGTGGAATCATACCGCTAGATTAACTACAACTATTATCTAAATCATAAATACTTGTTTCTACGCACATGTTTAATGTTAACACAAAATATTGTCACATTTTGTATCACGGGAATAGTCAGTAGTTTTTTATGGTTCGGTTCCAGTTAGGACCCAACTAATCTTGGTCATTGGAGTTCAAATGACCCTAAACAAAGAACCAACTGACCTTAGCTAGAATAAAAAGTTTAGTCTCAACTTATTTTCTCCCTTTTTATAAGCTTCTCCGTCAGAGCGCCTCAACCCCTACACAATCCTTATTTAACAGTGCGTAAGACGACGGCTTGTCTCTCTGGTGTAAACCCGCTTTCCTCGGATTGTTTAGAATTTTGTTTATTTTTTTCTCAGACTGTTTGTTTACTATTCCTCATTATACGTGATGCCTTCTGCTTAGACTAGGGATTTTCATTACTGGGAAATGTTTAACCTTGAGGAGTGTGTTTTATCTGTGGTTTATACTATGGTTTAACGTAGCCTATGCACTATAATATATTATTTACATTTATACTGTTGACTCACAAGATGGTAAATACATATGAAAGATGAGTGGTGATCGATTTTGATTTGACACTCCAATCGAAATCGATCACCACTTACCATCTTACAAGTGATAATAATTGATAATAATAATAACTGATGATAATAATAACTGATAACACCTTTACACTTATAGGTATTTACCGTCTTGTGAGTGTTGGCAATGGTGTTAGATTTTAATTTAAAGTCATATGATTCTTCATGACATGTGATTATGTTTATATTTTGATTTTTAAGTTGTTATGATTATGAGTTCATTATTAAAATGGTATGGTAAAGTATCTGAAATACTTTTAAACTTTTATTTTACTTTAGATTAGATTTATCAACAGTGAGTCAACAGTATAAGTGTAAATATATTATTACTAGTGTTATTAGACGTATTTCTTTTTGTTTTTCCAGTTTCAGGGTTATTTATCCTGAGTAATTTTGTTTGGTGAGTTTTCATTTGCCCTGAAATTAGGTCGATCCAAATGGTGTAATGTAAAATCAATATCTCCCTCATAATAGATAAAAGCACTTGCCAGCACAGCAAGGGTGTACAGAGTGTTTGTGCGGAGGGGTAGGCTAAATAACCCCTTTATTCCTGACTAACATGTGGCCAATGCAAAATATGCATGTAGCTGGGGTTTTTTAAGGATCTTGTAAAATAATTTTTTTATTTACTATTTATAAGATAGTTTGTCAAACTATGTTGTTCACCAACGTGTTCACATTAGCCTACAAACTGAACTTTTCACATAAACAACTTGCAAAACCTACATTTATGAGGGGTTTGATATTATCTTGAAAACGTTTGTTCAAAGTTATATTTGAAGGCGTAAAGATATTCTTCACTAACAAAGCTATAATAGAAGTATTTCGTGGAAATTACTATGTAACTGTTTGAAATTGAATCAATCATTTAAATAGTTCATTTGTTTTATTACGGATTCTAACTACAAAATTGAATAAGGTAAACTAGTTACATTACAAAAATGCATTCTGGTTTTATACAGTAGAACCTTTATCCGAGACCACTCTATAACTAGCCTACGTGAAATGTAATCTATAGGCAAATCGATATTTGCTCAGCATTACGTATCGTCTTTATAAGTTTTTAACGTTTTTCTGAAGAATTTCTAATCGAAGATTCATTCGCTACAACTTTAATTGGCAGAATAAAAACAGAAAACCTGTGAGAGAAGCTGTTATCTGGACACAACGCATAAACAAGATGTCGTCTCTGTCATCGTGGAGATTCCATAAATTTAAATAATCCCAGAGGGCTCTCGTAGCGACGAAGGCTAAATAATTAACGTGGCTCGAGATTGTTTACAAGGGCTGCCTCGCCACTACTCCTCCCCTTAAATAAAGTTGATTAACATTCTGTGTTGGGTGTAACCAGGTGTTGTAAATCATTTGGAAAATATTATAGAATACTAGCTGACCCGGCGAACTTCGTATCGCCTAAGTTATAGGTTTCCCCTAAGACAGACCGATGGAAAGAAAGTACCGTTACGTTTAATTTTCAAGATGATCTCGTTTGCATCGCTCAATAACGTCCTGGTTGAAGTTCGTTCGCTACGCTCACTCACCTTTGGGTTGGAGCTCGTTCGCTACGCTCACTCACCTTTGGGTTGGAGCTCGTTCGCTACGCTCACTCACCTTTGGGTTGGAGCTCGTTCGCTACGCTCACTCACCTTTAGGTTGGAGCTCGTTCGCTGCGCTCACTTGCCTTCAGGTTAGCTCGTTCGCTACGCTCACTCGCCTCCAGGTTGAAGTTCGTTCGCTACGCTCACTCACCTTTTGGTTGCAAATTAGCTGTTGTCATAAATGTAAAAGAAATAATAGTGCTGCACCCTGTTGGTAATCCTTGTAACTTTAATGCTATTGAACATCATAGAACAGAACCAACTTGTTTAATTGAAACAGCTGTTAAGATTCATTAATTCCATTTCTCATAAGGTTAACATGGGAAACTCCAGAGCCACTGGGGCGGAGCCCTTTTAAGAATTTCGAAACGGGAAATAGTTTACGTCCGATTCGCATACCTACAGAATTTACACACCAAATTTCATAACGATCGGTGAAGTCGTTCCGGAGGAGTTTGCAGACAAACACTGTGACACGAGAATTTTATATATTAGAAAGAAGATGATAATGGTGAAAATAAAAAAAAAACTAAAGACATCTTCGTTGGTAACGTTGGTTATTTGTTCATTGTCTTATTTTATTACAGAATTAATTTTATAGATAATGTTTTAACCTTTGTTTGGATGACAATTTATGTGAATTGAAGTATGCGTTTTTCAACTATGTGAAAAATAATCATAAAGACCATAACAGCCAGCAACATATACAGTTTTGTTTTCATGCAGATACTGTACCCAACAAATCTAGTTATAAAAATGCAAACTGTAAGAAAAGCGTATTAAAAAGGTTTTACAAACTTTTCCAGCCCATTCTAAAAATTGATAAATTTTTGTTTAGTTTAATTATATCTTAAACAGTGTTAACCCTGTAGGAAATGAGAATCAATTTTTCTTTAAACCACAGACAATGGATAATCCAATATCCATTGTCTGTGCTTTAAACCAACCAGAATAGTAATTATTCATTAAAACAACAGATATTTTATGGGATAGCTAACCCTGTTTCCCTGACGAGAAAAAAATACCGAGTTAGTAATAATTTCTAAACCTCAATTCTGCGGACTGTGACTGTAGTTTGTATTTACCACAACGCCTGCATACTGTCGAACACTAACCTGACAGCATTCCTGTACTGTGGTGTGTGTGAGATGGCAATTGAAGGCGCTATTTTAATTCGTAGCCAATACAATGATTTATAACATATTTTCCCTTTTCTTTATGTCATGTTGTCGCTATAACTACTCATGATAGTCTACTAATATTAATTAGTCAAATATTGATATAACATATTGTTCTGTATGTATTTAGAACAAATAATAAATGTATTTATCAAGGTACAATTTTAACCAACTTTATTCAACACATATTAAAAACAAAGTGAACATGTAAACATTATAACCAGCTGATAATAGTTATAGAATAAATTTAAGTAAATAAGTAAAGATAGACATTTAGGATGTAACACCTCCCCTTCTTAGTGAGTTTCATAAGTTAAGTCTATCGACGGGTTTATGTGTCCGTTTTGATCGTCTCACTGTCATAGCGGAAGCTGGTGCCACTGGAACATCTGACATGTTGTTACTGGTCTCTGGTGCCACTGGAACATCTGACATGTTGTTACTGGTCTCTGGTGCCACTGGAACATCTGACATGTTGTTACTGGTCTCTGGTGCCACTGGAACATCTGACATGTTGTTACTGGTCTCTGGATCATCTGGTATGTTGGGATCATTGGCCTCTGGATTAATGTTGTGATAATTTGTTGCGTGGTTTTCGGTTGGTTCCTCTCTGCTTCTCCAAAATTTGTTGGTATGAATACTTGATTTTGCTCATTCCTTAATGAAAATTCACACAAGTCCCTCCCTGAGCGTCTAATTTGGTCTTGATGTCGTCTGATTGGGCCACTGCTTGTGGTTATTTCATAATTTCTTGGTCCTTCTTTTTTGTTGATCTTTCCAAACCCCCATTTGTATTTAGAACAAATAATAAATGTATTTATCAAGGTACAATTTTAACCAACTTTATTCAACACATATTAAAAACAAAGTGAACAAGTAAACATTATAACCAGCTGATAATAGTTATAGAATAAATTTAAGTAAATAAGTAAAGATAGACATTTAGGATGTAACACATATAATGATATTTGACTACTGTATGGTTAGTTGTTTGTTGCTAATTTGGAGATACTGTATATACAAAGTAGCCTAACTAATTCAATTTTTGTTTCAGAAATGGAGGCAGCTGTTCGATAAGGTAAGTTCTGTTAAATAACTTATTATTGTACGTGTCGTTTAATGACATTATTTGCGGCGTCATGTAAATATTTTGCAATTGTAGGACAAAGGTTAACAAATTTATGATTGTTGAATGCCTTATAGTGAATATTGAATATTCACAAATAATAGGGGAATAAATACAGTTTTAGTTTTTTAGAGTTTTTGGTTCACGAAATGTATTTTTACATTAAATTAGAGCAAGTATACATTGGTATATATTACATACTCTACACTCTTACAGATAAGTATGTGAATGGCGGTAGCCTCTGTGTAGTGTGTGCATTGTATGTAGTATGTTAAACCGTTGGTTCGCCATGTATGGCAACTGCCAGGAAGGACACGTCTGTCTATTTAGTGTTTATATGGTCAATGCACACGACACAGGACTTCCGTGTCATACACCTTTAGAAACCTTTCGGGTCTTTAAAGAGCAATTTATGATTTAAAAATGTCCAAAATGTTTACAACTCTGTGATTCCATGCCATTGCGAAGTTTATTTTAAATAAGTCAATAAGTGTATAATTAATGCAGAATGACTAGTTAAAATTATGATTAATCTAGTTGGCGTGTAGTGAGACCGGCAATACCTAAGCCATTGTTTGTCTGTTCTCAGTATGATCCCGAGGGGTTCGGCGAGATCCCGTGGGATGACTTCGTGGAGGTCTTGAGGACTCCAGAGTTTGTGGAGGAGGTGACGCCCAACAAGCGGGATATCCTGCAGGAGCGAGCCCAGGACCGCAGGACTTCCGCCATCACCTTCCAGGACTTTGTCAATGTGGTGAGCAATCATTCCACACACACTATTGTCATCTATTTCTAAATGAGTAATATTTTTAAAATTTTGAATCTTTTGAATACATAGCTGTGATAAATTACTCGTCACATATTAGATGACACCAGTGCTTGTTGTCACAATAGTCGGTAATGCAGTACGTAGTTTCTGGAGTCGTCGTCAGAAACACAGTACGTAGTTCCTGCAGTCGCTGTCGGCGGCAACGCAGAACCTAGTTCCCATTGGCGCCGTCCGATCGCGCTGTTTTCTCGTATGTTAACATATAATACATGAGTTCAGAGTTCATTATATTCAAACTAAATCTAGTTTAATATTTTGGATTTTTATGCTTAAGTTATTTAATGTACATTTATGATATAGCATCACAATTTTATTAATTTAATTATAATCTATAATTAATTTATCATTGATAAAGTCAACTTCTCCGTGTCATATAAACACAGATAACAGAATCCTATAACCCTTGCGTCAATTAAGGATATGATATGATCTCACTTCGTTAAATAAAACGAACCCTATGTTTACTTTTTTATATAATAATGTAAAATATCCATATCTATTAAAAGATTGATCCGATGAAAGGTGTGGCTCGATGGCAACGTGACAACTGGAGACAAAACTGCTGTGGTAGAAAAATAAACAGAGTCGAAAATCATGAATTACGATGTTGCAATTAAAAGATTTTGTGATCGTTTGATTCCGTTTGATTTTAAAAGTTAAATATTGTTGAAATAATACGCTTTGAAGTTTGTCGCGTATTAAAGCAAAGAGGATTTAATTTTTATATTACATTGAACACTTTAATGTAATAAACAATAATAGTTTTCGTTACTAGTACCTAAAGTAGACTTTTTTGGGACGATATCGTGATAACGAACGAGGCTTTGCCGAGTCCGGAAATCCGAAAGCCTTTTAGGACGAGTTACGAACAATATTTTTCATTACATTGTCATATATTATAGCAAAATACCCCCGCCGCAGCAAACCTGCAGACTAAGCGAATTTCCATTTGACTGATTGGATTTACACTGAAATGTCTACTTAAAAATATAGCATTTATTCCCGATTTAAATAGAATTAGTTTAACAAGTACTTAGGTTTGCTGCATCAGGGAGGGTAAAACTGTTTTTTTTTGTAAAACGTTCATAGTTAGTAAGAAATAAAAACATTTTCCAAATTTGATCAAAATATGTTCATAAACAAGCAAACTACAACAGTTTACTCATTCTCCATAAGAATAACATGGGAATTTTAAATTTACAATTTTTTGGAATTTTCTCCGTAACCATTAGGCGCATAACAACGCTTCAATATACTAAATTATTTGTTTTTTTAAGCTCTACAAAATGGTTTGGAAATAAATTGCTAAATTTTATGTTTTTTGGGTCAAAAATGGGAAAAACCTATTTTTACCCCATAAAACCCCCCGTAAACACCCGTTCCCATGGTCCGATCATGCTGGATCGCGAACTCGTTCGAATAAACGTAGGTTTACACGTTTGTACCAAATTTCATCAAAATCGGATCATTTTTGCTCGAGTTATCGTGCTGACGGACACATATATATATATATATATATAAATATATATATATATATATATATGAATTTGAACGGATGGTGTTTTTGGCCTCTAGGGACCTCAAAACGGAAAAAAAAATCGGTCCCGCGTCCAGGTCTTACCATGAGTACTACGGTAATAGCTTATTCCCTATATGGGAAATTCGCTAAAATACTAAATATAGCCAAACCGTTTGATAAAAAAGAAACGTTTACTTAACCAAACAAATTGAACGAGTACATAAATTATAGAAAGTATACATAAATTATACATATATCGATTTGGACCTTTTTGGAAGTAAGTTTTCACTTATTTGTTTGGCTCCCAAAGCAATTTTACTTATTTGGTCCATTTTCACTCTCACTACTCCAAAATACAGTAACACTGAATGGATTAGAATATGTAAGAAACAAACAAAAATTTTTTTAATATTGTTGAAGCATTAGGATCAGAACAGCTGATTTGTTTTTTAGATAAGCTTTGACATAACCATATGATTCGAGTCCGTAAGATTTTACGGGCTAGTCCACAAAAATCCATAACGATCCGTAAGACAGCTGTTTTTGAGACAGTGTAATGAAAACATCTTTTCCAAATCTGATGAAGATTTATTTTATATAAACAACAAGGCATTGATTAGTGTATTTGTATTCTCCAACTTGAAAACTGTAGCTTACTGCGTTTACCTCGGTAACCTGTGAGCAGGTAAAGAATAAATAAGCTTTGTATGTATTTTGTATAACTTAGATAACATTGCAATTACCCTGGCAACAGCCGAGCCAACCCTCCTCAATATTAGCCAACCAAAATATTACACATATTCATATACAGGTAATTGAGAAATCGCTGTATTAAGTTTAAAAGAATGGTTATTTTTGAAAAACATAAAATAATTTTTTGGGAAGCTAATTTGTAGATTGGTACATTTGATATGCATCATCACACTTAATTTACTTTGTACTTACACCAAAAAATGTTTGTCACACTGAGTACCAATCACCCTGTATTACGTTCACAACAGTATTTGTTTAACTACTGTATACCATAGATAAAACATGTTTTTATCTATGACTATACCGTCAAGTGGACCAAGCTGTCGATAAAGCAGTACGTTGTTCATTCCGACACCAACAGGATGCGCTGCCTATCCATGTGCGTTACAGCGTACAGCATGTTACAGCAAATACTGACTTTATATACGTGTAGATATAAAGTCAATGTCAATGCTATAGACATAGGCCATTTTGGTTAATCGTCTGTGGTTACAGTAACCATCCGTAGGTATATAATAAATAGTACTGTAACAAATCCAATTAAATGCCCTTAATATCTCTTGTATTAATTAATTTATTAAAGAAGTCGAAGAGAGTCTATAATCACGTTCTCACCAGTAGCACAGAAAACATACTAAGCGACCACAGCATTAAAATTTAGGCCTATTCGTAGTACTTGTGTATTTAGTGCATTGGCGCATTAGTAGGACTAGTAGAAGTTCACTGTTTTGAAAAAGTGTGTTTTTGTGTTGTAAACTCTAAATTCGTTCATCTTTCCTGAGTTTAAAAAAGTGGGTTAAAATTATTTTTACGATGAAAACTATGATACAGTACGGTACAGTGATATCAAACAATGCTAAACAAGCGTAGTCAATTAATTAAATTCTAAAAATTATGTGTGTACTTCTCGTTGGCATATAGGATGTGAGTTGGTTTTATATTTATAACTATACAGGTTTTCATTGCAGATCAACGCCAAGTTCACCTTTATAAAACAAATATATTCCCGTATTGTGAAAATATTTTGTGACAATCCAGTGCAGAGGGTTAATTGCCAAGCCAAACAGCCTTTTCGGGATAATGATTCTACCAATCGTCCGTTACCAAGTAATACCACTGTGTGTATGTCCCAGCTACCATCCAGGTAACCAGCGGTTAAGCGAGTAAGCGACCAGCCAGGCTACCAGCTACCTGCCCTGCTCCACTGTGTTTTTACCCTAATGAGTGGCTGCGGCTGAGTAGTGAGCACAGTGTGTAGTGAGTAGATGAGTATTCCTGACAGGTGGTCTGTCCATGCAGATTTGTGCTACAAGTATATCAAGTCTTCAGTCGCGGCGAGTGGTATTTGACACAGGCCTAATGAGTGGCTGCGGCTGAGTAGTGAGCACAGTGAGTAGTGAGTAGATGAGTATACCTGACAGGTGGTCTGTCCATGCAGATTTGTGCTACAAGTATATCAAGTCTTCAGTCGCGGCGAGTGGTATTTGACACAGGCATAATGAGTGGCTACGGCTGAGTAGTGAGCACAGTGAGTAGTGAGTAGATGAGTATACCTGACAGGTGGTCTGTCCATGCAGATTTGTGCTACAAGTATATCAAGTCTTCAGTCGCGGCGAGTGGTATTTGACACAGGCATAATGAGTGGCTACGGCTGAGTAGTGAGCACAGTGAGTAGTGAGTAGATGAGTATACCTGACAGGTGGTCTGTCCATGCAGATTTGTGCTACAAGTATATCAAGTCTTCAGTCGCGGCGAGTGGTATTTGACACAGGCCTAATGAGTGGCTACGGCTGAGTAGTGAGTAGATGAGTATACCTGACAGGTGGTCTGTCCATGCACATTTGTGCTACAAATATATCAAGTCTTTAGTCGCGGCGAGTGGTATTTGACACAGGCCTAATGAGTGGCTACGGCTGAGTAGTGAGCACAGTGAGTAGTGAGTAGATGAGTATACCTGACAGATGGTCTGTCCATGCACATTTGTGCTACAAGTATATCAAGTCTTTAGTCTCGGTGAGCGAGTGGTATTTGACATAGGCCTAATGAGCGGCTGCGGCTGAGTAGTGAGTAGTGAGTAGATGAGTATACCTGACAGGTGGTCTGTCTAGGTGGTCTGCCCCCTCCAGCCAGCAGCTACACGCTGGAATCAAACTGTGTTTTTGTCAGTGGAACACCTTGTTATCAACATGCCGACCAGTTCAATTTGACAGCGCAGGTTTTTCGACCAATTTAAGGTGTCAGATTTGACCCAGTGTGATTTTCACGGAGACTTTATTAAGCCCGACTCACGCATTTCGATTGGGAACAGCAAGAGAACGCGCTTTTGTCAAAACCATTAACGTTACGCGATTCCGAAATCGCTCTTTCAAGTCAGACTCGAGTTGACACAAGGGTGAGCGCAACAACGGCGGGCCCCAGGGGTCTGTTTTGACCCCTTGATATCGCTTTTCCCGCGCATTGTCAGCTGATTAGGACTACCGGAAGTGGTTAAACAATCACTCATTGAACTAAAAGTCCACCTGGATGATTGCCCAACTGAGAATGATTTGATTTGACACGTGTTTGAGACCCATTAAATCAAAGAAAGCATTGCCTATCTAGTAGACTTTTGCAAAGAGGTCTGACCTACCAGTAATAGGTCTCCATATATTTA